GCAACTCTTTCAATTAACATACAGCATATAATCAAGAATGAACCCACGGCTAAGCAAACCAGACTAAAACAACTGAAATAAAATACTGCTGGAGACAGGTTTAAATATAGACTGACTCAAAAGCACGTGAAGAGCAGTTCTACTGCTGGGGCAAACTGTCTCTCAGCAATATTAAATGCCATAGGGAATGTGTCAGAATAGTTTGCTATAACAAATAAACACACGTGCACATGCCCCCCAGCCTACTGAAATTTTTCTGTAATTAATGGTAAATTCTTATGTACAACCTAGGTGTTCCCAAGGCTTTCCGAGCAGTAGCGGAACTGTAGCGCACGCTACATCAAAACAAGTATCAAAATAATGATCTTAAATTTATGTCACACCTTCGAAAGAGCTCAGTTCGTAGCACTTTTGCTTGTGTGGCATCGGACCAGATTGTCAAGCCCCATTTTCACAGGGTGCTGCAGGGTACTGTAACTTAAGTGATTCATGCATGCAGCTGTTGGAACTGCTTGTTGGGTTGTGAAAAAGCTCAGGGTGCCAAGTGCTGATCTAAGAGAAGTCAGATCTCCATCAGCCGTCTTGGCTCTGAGCAGTTACTGAACAACAGATGGTAGCATGAGTTAAGCAAACTAAGAAAATATTCGGAGTGGAGGAATAAAGTTAAAAGCCTCGCAAGAACTGAATTCTCGAGAAAATATGGAGAACAACTGTTGAGGTTTGAAGGAGTTTTCATGTCCAAGTGATGTATGCCACTAAACACTAAAGGGTGGTCTCGCTTCTGACTGTTTCTGAAGCAGTTGTGACTATGAAAAGTTTTCATTTAACTTGGGCAGAAGGCACTACCTATGAAATTAATATTGCAGACATTTCAGCTAGAGCTCAGAGCATGCTAACTCTTGCACGTTAAGCCATACGTGCACCGTAAAACACAACCAAAGACAGCATCTGGCACTAAGGAAAAAATGAAAGAACCCCAAATCACATCATTTTGCAGTAGATGACAAGCACCAGCAGCAAGAAAGGGACAGCACTGTGAGCTTCGACAATCTCTTCAGCAGAGCAGGGACAGCACTAAACTTCCACAAATGGAAAACTTATTAGCATTAAGGGGAACAGAAGTGCACGAGCCCATCAGTAGCATTGGCATGGAAGAGACAAAGTCAGTACACAATGTAAGAAAAAAAGATGATGGCAATGGTCACAAGCACATGGATAATATGAAAGTGCATGGAGTAAACAGAGTGGAAGACTTGTACCAGCGAAGAAGTAAAGTCCCTCTAACCTGGTTTACAATCACTTCTCGTTCTTGGTCTAAGACAGCACACTCCAATTTTGGATAGGTGAGTATCAGGACTTACAGATGCTTGTGTTGAACAGCGCTGATAGGAACTCCCATGAATGAAGCAGTTTTCTACAGAACTTCTTTATTCCACACGATGGCCGAGTAAGAAAGCTCTTGCATTTATGTGAAAATCTGACCCATCTAAATATGAATATGAGGAAAAACTTATTTACTTTGAGGGCGACAAAGCACTGGCACAGGCTGCCCAGGGGGGTTGTGGAGTCTCCTTCTCTGGAAATATTCAAAGCCCACCTGGACGAAGTCCTATGCAACCTGCTCTGGGTGAACCTGGCCTCGCAGGAGGGTTGGACTGGATGATCTCCCGAGGTCCCTTCCAACCCTTGCCACTCTGTGATTCTGTAAAATACACAGGCGTCTTAAGCCAGCTCTGTAAGTAGCAATGCCTGTGACTACAGCCAACTGAGACCACATTCTCTCATTTCCAGAGAAGTAAGGATTTCCAGAAGGACGTGGAGCTAAACCACTCAGCAGAATATGAACTATGAAGGAAGTATTTGAGCTGGCTTGCTTAACATATTTGTGAAGAGACAGTGAAAATTTGCTCAATGACTCTATATTTTCAGGCTTACTATACTTTAATTCCTTATACTGTTCATCCAAAATTACTACAGTCCCAGGTTTCTAAGCTTGTTTTTAATGCGTTTAAAAAATATTTTAAAATCTAGTTTAGGGTGGTAAATAATCTTGCTACCATGGAAAGAGAAATCAGAACAATCAGATTACTCATTTAGCGAGGTATTACTCAGTGCAAGAAAGCGTGGGAGAATCAAGCTCCTAAAATGAAACTCGCTGGGACTGAGACAAATAAAAGTGCATTAATTTTTGTATCATCTAAGATACTTGGTTGAAAATTTAATTATTTCTTTAGGCTCAGGAATCTATATTCTGCAAAGCGCTGCACTCTCCAGGACAGCCCACCAAAACACTTGAGGATATGAGTAAGTTTCATCATATCAGTAGTTCTAGCAGAGTAAACAGGATGTAAGAGTGGACATACCCAGACCACATATCCTTTTACCAGTTCCTCATTTCTGACAGCTAGCAGTAATCGATGCTTCGGAGAGCAGAGGAAGAATGCAGCAGGTCCAAGAGTGCTCAAGAGTTTCAGCAGTACTATAAGTTCCCAAGTGCATTCAAAAGCACCATACACAAATACACAGCGTTTGAATCACAAGAAAAATCATGAAGTACTTGTGCTTCTGATAGACCCTGAAGGCCACAGACATGCCCTACCTGCGACCTGAAGCAACCAGGCCTCCGGTCTGTGAGGCCGTCTCTCTGCGCTGTAGGGCCTTCAGGACAATTGAAGCCCCCATGCGCAGCAGTAACACCCCTGGACCAAACGCACGAGGACCCAGGCTGCCTCTGCTCTTGCTCACATGACCCAACGTGGCTCACCTTCACCGTGGCAAGGACAGGCTGTGACTTGGGTGCAACGTCCCCCCCAGGTCCTTCTCCACAAAGCTGTTTCCTTGTCAGTCAGCACCCAGCCTGGGCTGCGGATGGTCCCCACTCCATCCCCAGGGGAGAACGTTGCACTTACCCTCACCAAATCCAGGAGGCCCCGGCCAGCCTGCTCCTGCAGCATGCTGAGGCTCCTGTGCGCCCCCCCTCAGGCACTGTCCCCTGCCTCCAACCCAGCATCGCCCAGGGCTGGCTAAGGGTCTGCTCTGTCCCATCGACCAGGTCATTGGCAAAGACATCCAACGGCATCAGCTCCATGACAGCCCCTGAGGACTGGCATCAGTTCCAGTAACAACCTCCTACTGGTGATGAGCTGCTGGTTGGGTTTGCCCTGCCCGTTCTACCTGACAGTCCAGCAAAGCATCTACCCCACCTTATGGTTTGCCTGTCCAAACCGTACCCCTCCAATACAGCTTCTACAACAGCACCATGTTGAAAGCCTTGCTAACGCCAAGGTGAATGACATCAGTTTCTTTCATCTGGTGATGCTCAGACATAATTTGCCCTTGATAAATCCATGTTCACTGTTCTCAATTATGTTCTTGCCCTTCACGTGCCTGGATGTAGTGCTGGGCCCAGCTTTTGCAAGGACTCACACTGTAATCTTCCCGCAGACTGAGGTCAGACCAACCAGCCCACAATTCCTCAAGTTGTTCTCTTCAAAGAATGGCCTAACCCTCACCTTTTCTCAGTCATCAGGACCATGCCCCATTTGCCACTGCCACCCAGAGGTGATGGAAAGCAGCCTTCTAGTGATGTCAGGCTGCTCACTCAGCACCCTCCGGGCCACTGCAGAATCCAGCTTTACAGTCTGACTATTGGCATAGCGATCGCCCTACTCTTTCACAGCTTCATGAGAAGCAGCTTGTACACGGTATCTTAATTTAACGCAACAAAATGGGGAATGTGACATTTGTTTTTTAAGAGGAGAGTGATAACATACGTATTACTTGGCATATAAGTATCCCAAAACAATGTTATTTATACCTTAAAATTCAAAGAAAAAAATAATGTGACCAATTTATGTTTATGCATAATTTACATTTTGCTTTTGTCATTGCAGACAGCAAAACGGTCCATTTTGAATGTCAGGCTACGTTCTATGAATGGTACAAAGTATTTTTGGATTAAAAAAATCCATTCTGGAAGCATTTGGTTTGGACCTACAGATTTATGAGGGGGATATTTTAAAACACACACCCGCCCCCCAAACTAGCAGTCCAGTTGTAACAGTATCAGCCAAGTTGTGAGGACTTGAGAAAAAAAAAAAAAAGAAAAAAAAAAACCAAACCAAAAAAACCTGGGTAACAATCTAAGCAAAACTAACATAGTGATGCCACCCTGTGGCCATAACATGAAACTTCCGCTGAAAAGGCAGGATGCACGGTTATGTTTTATCTCGATCAGATTAAAGGGGGCCTCCGCACAAGGAGCCGCTGGCAGTTTTCAGAACTTCAGTACAAGTTTAAGAGCATAGAACAGATCAAGGCAGTACCCGGTAAAACTATGCTGATTTTGACACTGCTGCGCAGGTTATCAAGTGAACACCTGGCCCCGCTACCTACAACTGTATTTGTCAGGGAAAGAAACAGAAAAACAGCTGTATTTTACAGAGCAAGTGACAACAGAACAAATGAGAAGGGGATCATGATTTCAACTATTACGTTTGAGTAAAACAATGTAAGAAAATACAATTGAGTAAATCCTAAAATTTAAAGTAAATCCTACAACCACAAAATGTTTAAGCAATACCCTCTACAAGAAATAAGAAATACATGTATCATTATATATACATATCGATATACAATATATAATTAGGTTTTAATGGAAATCACAACCATGAGAACTAAAAACTTGTAACAGAAGTGTAAGCTATAATCATGTGATTCCAGCTGAAGCTTTTCCTTAAGGAAAAAACAAAGTCAAAAATAAAATACACAGAACTAGCAAATATCATTAAAACTTGTATTACAACTGTAGCAGTTCAAAATGCAATCTACTATAAAAAGTATATTTTAATTTCTTTAGAAATAAAGTATCTGTACAAAAGAAAAAAGATAGATGTATTTAACTGATTCATTAAAATATTGTAAAATATACAGTGTTTGATCACTTCTGCTCTATTGCAATTTTATTAACGTAATAGAGTAAGTAAGATTTAGAATCATTTTCTTCAATTTTCTATCCACGAGCGGTGTTGGTCTTTGAATTACATAGCTCCTATTTATCTTTTAAAGTAGCCTCTTGGCTACTTCTAATAGGTTAACCAATTTGCTTCGATATGAACAAAACACAACGTTCAAAGCTCTGCTACCTTCCCCTGTGAGATTCAGTAATGAAAAACCCTGAAGAGTGGAAGAAACAGCCCAAAGAAACTCAGCAGCAGGGTGCATGTGGTCTTTCTTAGCCTTATCTGTCCTCATGCAAAAGCCTGCTGAAGAAAGCCGCTCGCTTGGAAGAGCCTCCCCACCAACCCTCTCATTTCACATTCGCAAAGCCGCAATACCCAACGTTACATGACAAAGTTGGGCTACAGGATCTTTGTGCTGCCCGCTGGTAGAGTGCTTCTGTTAGATGGTTTGAGGTCTTCCTCCCGCTGCTTGGACAACCCAACACATTTCTACAATGGCTTGGGATCTAAGCTTAGTCTGACAATGGATGGTAAAACACTGCACAGAACAGAGGACAAGCTTGACATACACAGAATAAACTGTGGAGATAGTATAGAGCATAGCAGTCTCTCTGGAGGTTCCCCAAGCACTGAGGACTTCATGCCTAGGTAGACAGCACTATTGGAATCTAGATGGAAGGTAAAGGCAGCACAAATGGCAGGTGATGCAACTATTAGCTATGATGAAACAATACCACAACTAACCAAAAATTACAAAGGAGCAGTTTATCCAAGTTTGTACACATACAGCATAGGTGGGAGTTTAGTATTGGTTAAGTTTTACTGTGATTCAATCAGTCTGATCTTGTCAAAACACAAAACCAGCACACAACTACCAGTAGGGTCCTGCACGGTGAAAGAGAAAAGTGCGTAGTATTGGCATAGTGCTGGCATTTGCTCTTCCCTAAGCAATTCACCTAGAAGCTAATTGTGCGTTTTCAAAAGAATCAGACTTAACAAACCTGGGGACAAAGATATCGTTTCCATTTCTACTTCTTGGTCGCGCCTCTTCAGAAAAGATGCAGAAGATTTAAACCATTTGCAGACTGCTGCCACTTCTTAGCTGATGGTAGCAAATATAGCACAGAAGCGAAGCATAAATGTCTTACCCATATTCATAAAGAAAGAAGGACATAGTCTTTTGCTTACACCTAAAATATTTGGGTTTTGTGACCTGTCCTGAGATAAAAAAAAGCTGCATCTAGTTATCACCTGCCCAGAAAGAATAAAAATGAATAATTAATTTTAAAAAAGGACTATGAATTGGCTACAAGTCAGGGTCCAAATAGGTAGGATGCTAAAACAAAAGGAGGGGAAGAGGCTTAGGCGCTGGCTGTATTAAACAAAAGAGGTACCAATCACACAATGACACTGGTTAGATTTGTGTCCCGAGCTAAGATTTTTTTGGGGGCGGGGGGGGATGTCCAGATCATCTGTGTAATGGCTCACTTTTCTCTTGGAAAGCCAACAGGCTTCTGACCTCATCTATAAACCATGCAGGAATTACTCACTGCATACACAGGACTCAGGTTGTCTGTGCAACCACCAAATCTGATCTCTCCACCAAGAGCACAACACTACTATGAGGGACGCATGTAACGCATAAATGCTATTGAAGGAGACTCACGCGTATTTATCTTTTTACTGAAATTCTTCATAAAATCGTGTGGTTTTGTTCCAATGCAGATTGTAGATACTGCAGACTACTGAAGTCATTCACCACCTTAGATTGCCCCTAAAGGAATATCTGGTATCTCTGAAACCATACATTGCTAGTATTTACTCACGTATTAGGCTTAAAGGAAATTGCTTTATCCTGATCAGATCAGTTGACTTCCTTTTAGACATAAAACTGCGCTCTTTGAGACTTACTTCACCAGTAATGAAGTCAGGCCTCAGAAGTTGTTTCTCATCCATCTGTAAAATCATTACTGTAGGATATTTTCACCGATCAATATGCTGGCTCCTCAGAGGATCTCCTTCCCTCTCAACACGAGGCAAAGTTTGATTTTTGACACTTTGCACTGAATAGGAGGGGAAGAACATATGATAACAACAAAGCACATTACAAAAAAACAATTTCCTGCTCAATTAATAAACCAGACATTTGTCTGACTCTCCTATGCAGTCCTAGGAGTACCCAATGTACAGCTCCATGACCAGTGGCAACAGACAAGGCCACGTGAGTAGGAGTTAGTTAGACAAAGAGAAAAATCTTTGGACCTCTCACCCAAAGATTCTTCCCTTCCCATATGTGCTCTCTGTAGGCAGTATAAAGATTTAAAAACAGTCCCCAGACCTACTGCCCCTTGTTCATCTAAGAACTGCAGGACTAGAACAGGAATTTTCCTCAGTAACAAGATTTGAATCTTTTGGGAGATACAAGCATAGAAACAAATGAGCTGGCAACCACTAAAAAAAAAATAAATAATAAAATTCTTACATGTATGATGTACCACCCCGATGCAAGAGTTGACCATTGTTCTGTGCTCCTCCTGCCCAGCTCCTCCCAGCCTCATTCTCTTCCAGCCCTCCTGCCTTTTTCTTCTCCCACCTCTTCACTTTGCACCAGGTATCTGTCCTAATGAACAACCAACTTTCAAGGGACAGGCTAGAGGATAAAAAGTAAGAACTTTAAGCTCTGAAATCCATGTCATTGTTTACAGAGGAGAGCTTTCTATGAAATACAGCAGTAACTAAATGAGCCAAAAAAACCCGTATCTATCGACTACTTTGAAACATAAATCATTTGTAAACAACATGTCTCATCTCTCTGGGAGCCTAGAAGCAAAACAGTATTTTCAGTCTCTCACCCTCGGGAGAGAATGAGAAAAAGCAGATACATACTTAAAGGTTTCAGTTTGAAAAACATGCTTGACTGAAAAACATTTTTGTTCACTGCTATGAGCTTCAAATGAGGCAAAGCCAATTTTTAAAATTCTTTCCTAAAACTAAAATTTAAATGCAGTAACCCACAGATTCTTCCCATTCATAAAATTCAACTTTGTGTTTTAAGATGATTACCACAGGAACATTTTTACCTGCCCTATGATGCCTTACAGCTGGGAACTGCACCAGAGATCTGCCATCATCCTGACTTAATCTATTAAAAGATAATTCTGTGGAATTACTGCACAGGCTGACTAATGCTATTACTACTAGTTCATCTGACTGACATAGACTTTTGTTTGTTTGTTTTGGGGGTGGGGACAAGATATCTTTTACAGTTGCTCAAATGAAGACTGGAGTAAGACCTAGTAAACTCTCCCATTTTAACTGGCTACAAAGCATGCAGAATGGGGAAACAAATGAGAAGCATCAGCCAGACTATGCTAGCACACAGACAGTCCACCTAGTAGTGAAACGACCTCCCTCTCAGACACCCTAAAGGGCACAAATGCTTTTAAAGTGTCTCTGCATAGCTATACAAGGTATTACCCTGGGGCTTGAAAGAATGACATCCTGCACCTCATTGGGGCTGCTCTATCCAAAGCCATGCTGCATGCAGCTATGAAAGAGGAGCACTATTCAGCTATCACCCCACCCTTTCCTAAAGCATTTACTGCTCTGTTTGGTTAGTTGCAGTATTCTAAAATGGAAAACACACCTGGTATGCTTTCAACAGCATGTCAAATAAAGGTGCCCCCATAAGAGAAGTAAGCCTCTCAACTTGCACTTGCATGGGTTTTTCAATTTCCTCAAACAGAAATGGCTAAAAGGGAGGGGAAAAGGTAAAATGTTATTCCACATGAAACATACTAACCACACTCGAGAAGACTGAAAAGCCTGAATGGCAGACTTTGCTTTGAGAATTCAGGGCAAATAGTTTGGGAAACAGAGCATTAGCTATGAGTGCCACGAGAATTTCTTTTTTCTCTCAAATCTCTTCCTTTTTTCCCACAGTCTGAAATCAGCCACTTAAGTCATCATTTTAGTGAAGCAAAGACCACTATAGTTTTGTCTTATGTAAGGCTGGTTTGCAAGATGAAACGTCTCATGTTTTTATTCTTAAAAACATAGCAAAAATACTAAAGAAAATTACTTTGAGGGAGTTTCTAGTAGTACTTAACAATAGCCTCAATCCTACCGCACAAACAATACTACGCAAACTGGTTTCTGCAGCGATATGAAAGGAAAATGAGGAATGAACAAGTTTATGGAGATGTACACTTGAGTGCTGACCATTTTTCACACCACTTCACGAGCTATTTTTAAGTGGGTATTCAGGTCAATACGAGGTTTACAGCATAGATGATCAACTTATACAAACAAGCCACTTCCAAGAAAGGCCTTACAAGGACAGTACAGGAAAATGAGTCTTTGACACTTGTAGTTAAGTGAGAAAAGCTTTTTTGCTCCACACCTGGTGTACCATTGTTCTATCAAAGTTACCACAGAAAGAACAATAAAAACCATTCACGCTGTCAGTATACATAAGATGTTTGTGACAATGTAAAAAAATTTAACCAGAAATCAGCAAATTCTCTATTTGGAAAAGCTGTCAGGCCTGGCTGGTATTTCTAGTTATGTCACGAAGAAAATGTTGTGTGCCCAGAATAGATTTACACTCACCTGAAAGAACAACTGATTTCTATTCTGATCCCACAAAAGTGTGTCCTAACACGAGCAACAGGTGGAGAAACACTGAATGAACACTCTGAATTCTATACCACATAAGGAACACTGGGTAAGAGCACAAAGTGGCCCTTTCCAGACAGGCATATCACAACTAGGGAAAAGGAGAAAGTTGACTCGAAATCTAGAAATCCTCAAAATATAAGTTTATTTAGCTACAATATTATAAAGTACAATATAAAGATATAAAACATAGAAATTCCATAATTAATTCACATGCTAAAAGGATTAATTGACTAGGCATAAGGAGGAGACTTAATGAAATTTACGTACGTCTTAGCCGTAAGGGCTATTTCATCAAGTTTCAGACTTGAAATATTGAACAACCATTGCAGAGAACTTGCTCTCCCACATCACCATAACTAGGGAAGAAAAAAAAAGAAAATCAAAAGAAACAGAGTCAGTGTGTCTACTGTTTCTGAAGCATAACAAAGAATGCCATCCTATTCCTTTGTCAGCTGTAACCATGGGACTCCCACACAGCATGCTCAGCATTTCTTTATATCATAGAACCGTCAACAATGATGGCAAAAACTTAAGGTTACTCCTTGGGAGTGTATTCATTCATCCCTGGCCAGCATACTACACTGCTGGCAGGAAAGCAAGATGGCTTTTTTGCCTCCTAGAACGTTTAAGTTAGAAGCTAAACCAGATTTGCACTAAGACTGACTAGACTACTTCACATAGGCTTTTTATTCTCCATATTTCAGAGTTTTACTGCCACTGAAGCACCAAGAGAAGAGTTCCAAGTCCATCATGTGGATGAGCTAGGTATCTTGTTGGGTCTTCATATGCTACAGCCAATTTTCAGGGCATATCTAATTAGAATAAGCTTAAAAATTCAAAAGGCACTTACTCAATAGTGGAGCACAAAGAACAGGTAACTGCATTACAGCAGCTGCAGAGCCTGCTGCAGCTCTGGCAGACGAACTGGTCGCACTGCGTACATGCTTCCTTGACGTCTGCAGTTCTTACACACGATGAACAGGCTTTGGAAACTCCCACGGGTGGTACCGCTAGAAAGAAGATGCAGTTAAGAAGAGACGTACTTTACAGCAAAACAGAGAAAGCACCTGGAAGTACCAAGAACTGTAGTGTGGTATCTCCACTCAGCCTCGCAGCTACAGGTGGCAGCAACTAACAGAACGAAACTTGCCGGCACCAGCACAGGGCCCACCGCTGGTAACTGCGTTGGTTCTTTTTCTGCTCAGTGGCAAGACCACGAAGAGATTCTCAAGCAGCCGCACATACAACAGTTTCTAAATCCGCCACTGACGCCCAAATCCACACTTCCTTAAAAAAAAAAACTAC